AGATGAACTGTACACCTGCCCCTTCTTCTTTCCCCACACAAAATTGTTGGAAGGACCGCATTATAGAATGAGCAGAAGTTCTGTAAGCTACAGACATCTGTACAAACAGAGCAGCACTAATATAGCTCATGGGACACTGGGTTGACCTTTCACTTTCACCGTGTCATAGTGTCACTGATACTTTAGTTAGTGCCACAAGGATTTGAAGTCCACTTCAGATGAAAGGAAAATCCCTACTGGATACACCTTCAAAATATATCTAATCTGGCCTCTCTTCACCACGACCTCTGCTAATACCCTAGTATGAGTCACCATAATCTCTTATGTGCTTCACCATTTAACATTCCTTTCCAAACATACCCAGTGGGATTGCTTTGGGTGGGACTACTTGTCAATGTTGTACTGCATGGAAACTTTGACAAAAGATTCCCAACATCTAATTCCTTGATTTATTCCCTAATTCTTAAATGCCGGAGCTCATGGAGCCCTTAGAGAGCTGCCTTATCCACTGAGCCAAACCGGTTTCGGTGTATTTTTTTATTTTTATTTTTATTGTATTGTTTAAAGTATTATAAATAGTAGTACATATGTCTCTGTAATTTTTAATATATGGGGAAACTGAGGCTCAGTGAGATAAGAGACTCCTCTTCTGCCATACAACAATTATGGGGCACAAGACAGGCACGAGGAGCCTAGTTCTATGACAGAGAAAAAGCCCCTGGATGTGGAATGTGCCACATCTCAAACTGCAGGGTTTCTGGGACTCCCTACTGCATGCACAATCCAAGCTGCTGTCTCACAGAGAGTAGTTAGGTGTCTGTAGTTGGAGAAAACGTACCGTTCTTTCAGTGTGATATTGTGTCACATAACACATTAACTTTAATGGCAGTGTGTCCACTGGAGTCCCTGCTCCTGCTGCATTTTCAGAACCTCCCCAAGGGTATCTCATTCTTTCACCCAGAAGAGATCATATGATTCTCCTCTTCAAGAAAATTTCCCATTCTTCTAACTCTATCTGCCCAAAATCAGGAAAATCCCTTCTCCATCATCAAATTCTTTTCGATGCCCTCATCAGACATGCTTACTCTACTACATAATGTGTTTTCAGTTTGGGCATGAGACATCATGTCTGCTTTGTATGCACTTATTTAAAAATATGTATTGAGTACCCGAGGTGTACCAGACCTTATTTTTTTTAATTTAGTTCAGATGCAAGATAGTGTTAACTAAGAGAGACATGGCCTTGTAAAATTTAGTTCTACTGGAGGAGATAGGTAATAAGCAAGTGAATATATAAAGTAGTTTTCTAATAGAGGTAAGTGTTGTGAAGAAAATCAACCAAATCAATAAGATAAAGAGTAAGCCTTTGCAGGGACTCAGGGTAGAGGGGGTTCTTTGAATGGGTATTCAGGAAAGCCTTCTCTGAAGAGGTGCCAGTGTAGCCAGAGCTGAATGACTGGGAGAGGTCTGCGCTATGGAAATAGGGAAAGGCGATTCCAGGTGGGAGAAGCAAATCTTGTCTCCAGGTCCTAGAGTGGGAACAAATGTGGAGCCCGGGGGAAAGGAAAGGAGCCCAGCATGTACAAAGCGGCATATTGCAGGAGGCCAGGGGGGGAGGGGGGAGGGCAGCTTGTGGTCCTTGTAAAGGAGCACAGAAACTCGGGTCTTCTTTCAAGTGGGACAAGTCATTGGACTGTATCTTGTGAGGCTCTTCCCGATGTCCTTAGAGAATCCTTGAAAACATCAAGTGTACATTCGCTATTTCCGTGTCTTTAATAGGACTAAGATAATGCTTTTCTAATAGCAGTAATTTAATGAATATTTGATAAACTCACTGTAAAGTGCAACATATGAGAACTGCTGAGTTCATTTAGGAAGGATTCCAACCATCTGAACTGGATACTCCATGTGTCAGCCTTGGTGATTGTCACATTTCTTCCTCCCAGTGGCATTCTTGGAGTTGAGTCATTGAACTATATAGTGTTTCTCAAACACTAATCATTCATACCCTACTTTAACATTTTTGCTAAATCCATGTACCATCTGTACCACTGAATAATTACTATATTTCTTTAAAAAACCACACTTTACTTAAATAAGCATAGTAAAGAGGGAAATATCAGTACATGTTTGTGTACATACATACACACATACACATATAAACGCATGTTAAGAGAAAACATAAGCATACACATGCATACATAGAAAGCACTACTGAGTAACTATGAATGGCCAATCAATCAGATGTGATATGCCAGAATATATTTTAAACTATAATAAAATACATGAATATTAAAACATTTAAATGCTCACTTATGTACACCTAAAATCACTTCATTGATGGTATACATATCAGCCTTTCAGAAACTAACGTCCAATTGATTCACCTGGCTTTCATCTGAAAATCCTATCTCAATTCCTCAAAGCAGGGCAAGGAGAAGAGTAGGCAATTGGTAGTTTGGCTGCACACACCCAGTCAGAAATAAAGAACAGGCTGCCACTTCTGCATTCTGGCCATGCAATCTTGCCCATTGTGGGTCAAGTAGCTTCTCCGAGGTCCAATGTGAGTGAGTGGCAGGATAAAGCCACTTATGGTGAGGCATGGTTGAGAAGACCCGCTTGTTGAATGATGGATGGAGCAGTTTTCAGTCTCGCTATTCCACTTAGAATGAGCACCTTGGGAACCTGTTCCTCTCCTAGTAGAAGTGGTAGCAAAATAGCAAAGTCTAGGAGAGAATTTGTCATCAGAATGTTCCTCTAGTGACTTGTGGCCTTGGTTTGGGGACTTTGATGATGTCTTTTGTGGCAGAAGGCAGGTTATGAGTAATACTAATGTCACAGAACTAACATCCTTAATACAGGTTATAAATATAAGGTGGCCTGGGATCTGGTTTTATTTAGGTTCTTTATCAAAGCTACTCCAAGAGAACTTTAATTTATGTTCAGAAGGAAGAGCATCTGCAAAGAGACTAACAGGCCCAGTCTAATGGAAGGTAGACGTACTAAAACATCATGACAGACATCATACAATCTCATCCCCACATCCTGGTGTTTCTGCCATAAAACTCAGTTCTAGGAACCATAAGAATAAATCCTAAACATGACCTGAGAAGGATTTACTACACAGCTTTCTATAGCTACCAAAATTCCATGTCAGAGAGGCATGCATGTAGCTATCAGTAATAGAATTAATGACTAACAGGACCATAAATAGACAGAGTGTATTTTTATTTTCTAACAAGTATTCTGAAAGCTGAAGTCTGGGGCTCAACAATGTCATCAGAGGTCCAGGCTTATATTAAATTTCCACTCTGCTGTCATTACCATGTTGGCTTATTGACTCCCTGGTGAAAGATGGCAGCTCCATACATCACGTCTGCATGTGAGGCATGGTGATGGGTCAAGTGCAAAGGGCTGTATGGTTGTTCATATCTCATGGACCCAAACCCTGTCTCCTCTAAGCAGCAGGGAAGCTAAAATACTGAGAAGCGGCCTAGCAGTAGGGTTTGGAAAAGGTTTAGAAGTATGCAAATCAATAGTTTCTATTCCATCAGCTCTTTCTTTAGAGACTTCTGCACTATGCCTTGTGATCTGTATATGCACTGTGCCAGTAACATTTTTATCAACTAGCACAGGACACAAAAATCATGACATTTAACAAATTTTTCGTAATCTGTTACCCTCGGTAAGTCAACCATGTACAATATAAGTCTTTTCATGGGCAATCTTTGTTAAACCTAGAGTTTAGGTAAGCCAAGACCATTGCATTTTCGTAGGTAGCTCTGCATTGGAGGGTTTCAGCATTGGAGAGCCCTGGGTTCAAATATTATTTTGTCCCTTCGTAGCTAATAGCCCTGAACAGAATCATACCCTCTCAAAGCCTTCCTTTCTCCAGCAATAAAACGTCATTTATCTTCTCATAGGTCTCCTGTAGGACTTCTAATGTTCTTCTATACTATTTAGAATCATGTCCAGCTCAACACAAAGTACTCTGGAATTGGATGTTGTTTTAATGTCAGTATGAGTTACATATCAGGGTACCAGGGAAATATAAATCTGAGATATGGCAATAAAGGAAGAAATTCATGGATATTAACTCTGAGCCCATCTTTAAAATATTCAAGATAAGAATTTCTTCTCCAATAAGTTTATCCTTATTTGATAAAATATAATTTAAGCAATTAATAATTGTATTCACAGGCATGTTCAGGATTAATTTTAGGTCTAGAGATATTGAATGGTACAGAACAACACTCTAATTAATTAATCAATTAATCTCTTTACAAGTTTTTAAGGGCCTGTATGTGCTGGATACCACACTAGACATGAACAAGAGATACAGTACGTGTTCTCATGAAGCTTAAATTCTAGGGACACAGACATTCAACTAATATTTATACAGTAGGTACTTAAGTGCAACTATAATAATTGTGGTGAAGTAAAATGTAGCTCCCTTTGAGAAATAACAGAGAGGGAGTGTGCAAAATTTGGGATAAACACTGAAGTCAAAGAAAGCTTCGTGAGCCAATGCTATGAGAAGCAAATACGAACACATGCTATCTTGGAACCAGGAAGAAGTTTGCAACCCACACAGAAAGCCAGTGCACCTGGAGCTCAGTAATCCAGAGAGAGGTTCAAATGTTGAGCCAGAGAAGAGGCAGGTCAAATCATGCAGGGCTCTTTTGCCCTCAGGTGAGAAGAAGCCAAAAATCTGACACCTCTCTTCTCAGTGACTTTCATGTCCCAATCAAATGTCATACAGACTATAGGAAGAAAGAAAAATATTTCCCCTTGCCAAAAGAAAAAAAAAAGGACAAATATTTCACAATTTTGAATGTGTATTTCAAATACTATTTGTTTTGTATGTGTGGGAGACTGCATGCTAGACAACCAGCTAGAGAGACAGAGATAAGAAAGACAAAGGAAGGGTATTCAGAGAGATGTGCAAATATGCAAGGGCATGAAGGATGATTCAGAGGTGGATGGATGGATGGGAGTGTAGGTAAGTGGTTGCAGAAATAAAATGGTGTAGTAATAACTATGATGGTGGTGGTAACTACAACAATAAAAATAACATTTGATTGTCTCCTATGTGCTAGATATTGTCCTTGGCAGTTTACATGAATGAACTATATGCATATTAAAATAAAATATTGCATTTAGCCCTGGCCAGTTCATTAAGTGGTTAGAGCTACGGCCCATGCACCAATGGATTGAGGCTCAATGATTCATTAGGATAGAACACATATTCAAGCATGGTTTCTACGTTGTTCCTTACTCATGAACTGATGTAAGCAAAAATTTCTTCACTGCAGGGGAGGTGGGCAC